AGGACGTAAGTAATGGCGTCCATCATCTGTCTTCTCTGGATGCAGGTTGTCTCTTTCTTTCAAACAATGTAGGTCCTGTCATGCTTCAAATGTGTCCTTAGGCTTTCCATACACACCCATGAAGCCTAGCAGGTTCACACAAAGATTCTTCATCAGGTGCATCACGTCGATCGAGCTGCGGACTTCTAGGACTTGCCAATAGGGTAGGTCCCAAAATATGGACTTCTTCTTCCACATGGGTGCGTGACCGTTAGCGTCGTTCGGAACAGGTTGGCTTCCATGTCCTTTTCCAAAGACGGCTTTCACATCATTGACCATATCGAGTACATCCTCACTAGTTCGGTTGCGAGGCTTGGTCAGGTGGTCTGCCTTCCCTTTAAAATGCTTGCCTTTCTTTCTTACGGGGTGATTTGCAGGAAGAAATCAACGATGGCCAAGGTACACGACCTTTCGACATTTTTTCAAGAATACACCTCTAATATCACCGAAGCAGTGTGTGCATGCATTATATCCCTTGTTTGACTGTCCTGAAAGATTACTTAGAGCAGGCCAATCATTGATTGTTACGAACAACAATGCTCGCAGATCAAAGTGTTCTTGTTTGTACTCATCCCACACACGTACACCTTCTTTATTCCACAAAATGAGAAGTTCATCAATAAGTGGTCTCAGGTACACATCGATGTCATTGCCAGGTTGCTTCGGGCCTTGGATGAGCACATGCATCATAATGAACTTCCGCTTCATGCATAACCAAGGAGGAATGTTGTAGATACTTAGAGTAACAGGCCAAGTGCTATGACTACTGTTCTGCTCTCCAAAAGGATTGATACCATCTATACTTAAAGCAAACCTTAAGTTTCTTGCGTCATTTGCAAACTTCGGGAATTCTCTGTCGATTGCTCTCCACTGGGACCCATCAGCAGGGTGTCTCAACATACTGTCTACCTTACGGTCTTCTTTGTGCCATCGCAACAATTTTGCATGTTCTTTGTTTCTGAACAGACGTTTCAAGCGTGGTATTATAGGAGCATACCACATAACCTTGGTAGGGATTTTCTTCCGCGAACGTTCGCCCTCAACATCACTAGGGTCATCTCGCCTGATCTTATACCGCGATGCATGTCATACCAGGCATGCATCTAATTTCTCGTACTCTTTGCCATGGTACAGGATGCAGTCATTAGGACATGCATGTATCTTCTCGATTTCTAGCCCTATAGGACAGACAACTTGTTTTGCTTCGTAGGTAGTGACGGGTAATTCATTGTCCTTCGGAAGCATCTTCTTTTGGATTTTTAGTAACTCTCCAAATCCCTTGTCAGATACACCATTCTTTGCCTTCCATTGCAGCAATTCTAGTGTGGTTCCCAACTTTTTTTGCCCTGCATCACAAGTTGGGTACAACAATTTGTTGTGATCTTCTAGCATCCGCTCGAACTTGATCTTCTCCTTTTCACTTTCACATTCTTTTTGTGCGTCACAAATGACCTGACAAAGATCATCAGCAGGCTCATCTTCTGTGGCTACATCTTCTTCAGCTTCTCCCATTGCAGTATCATTGAAGCACGCACCATCGGGAATAATATCATTGTCGTCCCATTGTTCTTCTTCACCTTCTTCCATTACAACGCCGGTTTCTCCGTGCTTCATCCAACAAATATAGTTTGGCATGAAACCCGACTTGGACAAGTGTGAATGAAGAGTCCTTGAGCAAGGATATTCCACCATATTCTTACATATGGCACATGGGCAGCACATGAAACCATCGCGTTTGTTTGCCTCGGCCGCACGTAACAAAGAATGCACGCCGTCAATGAACTCTTGGGAGCGGCGATCAGCATTGTACATCCAATGCCGGCTCATCTGCATTACATGACATAAATACCATATTAAAACCTAGATCATAATTAATTATTTATAGAACATGTGTGCCACCATAAAAGGTATAAATTTATGAAAGCATCGCTACAATGTAGATAATCCCAACTACCACTAAAAGAACTAAAGCTAAAATACATTTCAGGAGCATAAGGATTTCGCGACCAATCTCAACTAAAACAGACAGATCCAACGATTGTGCAACATCTTTGGGCTTCTTCGGCTGGATCACTGTCTCATTAGCCGCCGTATCTGCCTGTTGTGCAAGATATTTTTGCACGAGTTCAACATACTCTTCCTCCCAGTAGAAGCCTGAACATCGTCCACTGCCATCCCACTGAAATTAAAACAAAAAATTAGAACTTTAATCACAACCATCATGAAAATAGGTATAAACTAACCATAATCATTAAATATGATAAAATAACTCACATTGCGATCTGGACACTTGTAGAAGATACGATACTTGTTGGGACCCTCCTTCTTCACTCGGTACTCCATCACAATCTTCGTCTCATCACGACACTTGCCGCATGGAATGAGCAGGAGGCCCGGCCTAAGTCGCTTTGGAAACCCATGAGAGGCCGAGGACCCGAAAGCAGTTGCCATCTACTCTCTATACTCATTTTTAATACACTATAAATTTCTCATTTTATAAACAAATAAAATTAAGAAACTATAAAATTATCTATATCTCAAAAACATGTTTTAATAAATAACCATCCGTACTAGTTGACCTTGCTTACGTGATCATCTCGGCGAGCATTTCTCCACCGGATGGCACCGTACTTGGTCAAGGAAGAGCTCCGATTCTACGAGGAAGGGAACACGGTCTTCCACGACCGTTGCCGCTCTCCCTCGTAGAATCAAAGCTCCTCCTTGATGTCCGTTACCGCTCGACAGAGAACATGCTCGCCGAGATGAACACGGTCCGCAAGTTCAACTAGCTACTTTAACCTTCTTTCATGTAAATATGCAAGCTTGAAGTGATTTTGAGCTCAAATTGCTTACAAATGAAAAAAAACCACAATAAAGAACGATATATATATATATAGTGAACAAAATGAGATAAGACAATTGTGAAAAATGAGAGTATGAGATTGGTAACCTTTACAACTGAAGAATCGACGGAGGAATCGAAGAAATCGACGGAGGAATCGAAGAATGGATGGAGGAACAATGGAGAGAGGGAGGAAGCAAGAACACTAGTGCAGTGAGCTTCAAAATGTGCTGAGCTCGGGTTCGGGGAGGAAGAAGGAGACGGCCGGGATATAAAGGGGGACCTTTAGTCCCGGTTGATGGCTCCAACCGGGACTAAAGGTAACTTTCCAACCCGGGAGCAGCCACGGCCCGGGGTAGACCTTTACTTCCGATTGGAGCCACCAACCGGGAGTAAAAGTATACCTTTAGTCCCGGTTGGTGGCTCCAACCGGAACTAAAGGTCCCTGCCACATCTGCCTGGCGCAGTAGCCGTTGGGCAGGGACCTTTAGTTCCGATTAGAGCCACCAACCGGGACTAAAGGTATTTCTAGTTCCGAGCGCAAAAAATGCCGGGACTAGAGCTCATTTTGACCGAGAATCAAAAGTCTGTTCTCTACTAATGTCATTAATGAACCGTTGAGACTAACTAGAAGTGCTTTAATGTTAAGAAGGGTCTTGTGCACTTGGAACTGCTATTACTTATCCGTGTCTCCTAGAGCCGCCGACCACTGCTGCTGCTTACCCCGGCACGCTGCAGACAGCCAATGCCAATGGGAAGACAAAAAAGGTTTGAGACTTCCTAGTACAGCTAGAGCTTTGTGTTCATTTATTGCAACAACCTGATGTAATCGGAAGTCTGTTGGCGTTGGAAGAGCTATCATTTACGTATTCAATCTGTAAAGTTTATCAAGGACTCGGTGATGTGACTCATCCGAGGGTACTTCAAATCAAATGGCCGTACTCTACTGAAGTACGTGATATGAAGGATCACAAGGAAGCATGTATCTCAACGCTCTCCAGGCTGTTCAGGCACCTGCGAGAACCACGTGTGTGGCAGAGTGATCTTGATGCCACATGTTCATTCGTGGCTTCGTATGTCCCTACTCCACCACCGCTTCAAATGCTTCTTCTTGATACACATAACTTAAATAGGGTGGGCCCCTCAAATCAGCTCACTAGTCAACCTGACCCGACTCCGCATTTTTTGTCCGTGGTGAAGCAGGCAAGGAAGGAATAAATATTCTAGCAAGTTTACCCATGCTGCTCTCTCTTACTGTTGGCTTATTAAATGACAAAAATGGAGATTCAGGCATCCTCTACGCAAGGCATGCAATTAGCAGACAAGGATTCCAGCGTCTGGTCAAGTTTCATTTGCGCTGTTGTCGTGAGGCGGCAGTGGAGTTTGAGCCGGGAGCCATGCCAAAGCTCCAAAGGCTCAAGCTGGAACTGATGGCATGGTGCCAGTTCTAGTTTGGGGAAGGTGGCCTCGTCCTTGGATTGCAGAACCTGGCAGGGTTCAAACATCTGGCTATAGATATTAATACTTCCCTTCGTTTGTTTTTACTTGTCAGCAATTTTTTATTGTAGCCACATCTCCGACACCACCGCGCATGGTAGCCAGCAACCCACATAGAGCGAGTGCTTCCGAGTTGAGAAGATGGCTGAAATGGTCGCTTATTACACACCATACCAAAATTATTTATGTGGCATATTTGATTGCAATAGTAGGTAGCTATTTATTATTGAGAGACTAGTTTATAAAGCTAGTGACATGAATCTATATATGCATTGAGGGTGGCTATTTTCTTCGTCCACCAAAACTTATAAAGGGATGTAACATTTTTTTAAAAAGTGTAACGAAACATATCACTGAGATCGGCCAAAAAACGGGCTCTCTTTCACAAATTCAAAAGCATTCCTTAAATTAATCTTCTCGAGAACTGAAGCCGTCGTGTGGACTGTCAGCGACAACGTGCCTTTGAGTGGTTCTCGCGAATCTAGAGGAGAATTATATATTTAACGAATGGGACGCGTTGTTGTTTGCCCCCACTTTAACCTGAGAACTGAATCACCTATCCTCTCTCATGCCACCCCACAAGCTAGCTAGCATTTCACTCAGCCAGTAGTCGCGAGTCAAGATGGCTGAAATGATCTCGAGCGCCGCCACGGGTGTGTTGGGCTCCGTCATCGACAAGCTGGCCGCCATGCTCACCGACAAGTACAACCTCGCCAGAGACGTCAAGCAAGGGATCCGGTCCCTGCAAGACGAGCTGCGCACCATGGAAGCCATGCTGTTGAGGCTCGAAGACAAGGACGACGACCAGATCGATCCACTCGCCAAAGACTGGAGGAGCAAGGTGCGTGAGCTGTCCTACGATATTGAGGATTGCATCGACCGTTTTGTGCTCAATCACAGCCATGGAGATGGAGGTTCCACGGCCAACTTCGTGCACAAGGCCATTCAAATGGTGAAAACGTTGTTCAAGGACAGAGGAATAGCAGAGGAGATCCGACGACTCAAGAGGCTCGTGAGCGAGCAGAGCGAGCGGGGGAAACGCTACTATGACAGCAATCAGTGTCTCCTCGCCTCCTCATCTCAGCCAGTGCTGTTCGATCCTCGAGCACCTTCACTCTTTCAGGAGGCCAGGGATCTTGTTGGAATCGATGCTCCTCGTGAGGAGATCATCAGCTTATTGAGATGTGAAGACAAGGAGCACAAGGTGGTGTCCATCTATGGGATAGGTGGACAGGGGAAGACCACTCTCGCCATGGAGGTGTACCACAAAATCACTGAAGCTGCTTTTGATAGCCGGGCTTTTGTGTCTGTATCACAAACTCCAGATATGAAGAAACTTCTTAGAGATATATTGTCTCAGATAAGCAAGAGCCATTTTGACCAGTCACAGATGTTAGAGACAGTTGAGCAGCTCATCCGCACAGTGAAAGAATGCTTAAAGGACAAGAGGTAATCAATATTATTTCTTTTTTTAATAGTTAACCAGTTCATCTAGCTAGAATAATGTCGTGCAATATTTGTTCATCACATGAGCTCACCTAATTATTAGGCCATTTATGAAATTTTCTGGGAATTTTAAAAAATGATTCATTTTTTCCTGGCCTAATGAACTTGACAGCATAAAATTACCTCAGATACTTCAATGGCTCAGCATATCTATCAAATGTCATCATTAAAGATGTTGCAACAATGAACAAACTCAAGTCAACTGTGCATCATTTTGGTAAATATTTTACTTTACACCATCTAATCCATACTCAGTAAAATTACTTCTTGGAAAATATGACCAGAATTCTAAATATCCATAAATATCTCATTTTGGAACTCAGCGTTTGAACTGAATGCGTCATGTCTTTTGAGTGGGTCTCTAGGTGTTTTAATGTGGCACTTACCATTTTGGAGGTTGTAACATATTTTTTAAATAATGGTAGTTTACAGACTGTATTTCTCATGTGTAATAATTACTGATAAAAAAGTGTGCCACTACGATCCATCTTACATTTCTCCGACATCTTTAACTTCACTGGTTTGCCTTACATAATTAATAATGTGATTCCACAACCAATGTATGCAGGTACTTCATCTTGATTGATGATATCTAGAGTGTATCGGCATGGGAGCTTGTACGATCTGCCTTACCTCGCAATGACAATGGAAGCAGAATTATTACTACAACACGCATTGAAGCAGTAGCCAAATCTTGTTGTACTGGTATTGCTGCACAAATGTATCAAGCAAAGCCCCTTAGTCATGAGGACTCCCAAAGATTATTCTTTAAGAGGCTATTTTTGTCCGGTGATGATTGCCACCCAGATTTGACGAAAGTATCTGATGATATTTTAAAGAAATGTTGCGGCTTACCACTAGCCATAATCAGTATAGCTGGTTTATTAGCAAACAGAAGGAAAGCAGTGGAAGTCTGGGTCAATGTATTGAGGTCTATTGCTGCTGCTGTTGACAAAGATTCTCCCATTGATAAGATGAAATGAATTCTGCTGCTGAGTTACGTTGACCTTCCTCACCATCTAAAGAGTTGTTTGTTATATCTGAGTGTGTTTCCAGAGGATTATCCCATTGATTGCCGACAGTTGATATTGCTATGGGTAGCCGAAGGACTGATTCCTGGAAAGGACAGGGAAAGTATGGAGCAGCTAGGGAGAAGTTACTTGAATGAGCTCATCAATAGAAGTTTGGTGCAGCCAACCAAGGTTGGGGGACACGGCGCAACAGTGAAACAGTGCAGAGTTCATGATGTCATACTTGAGTTCATTGTATCAAAGGCCGTGGAGGACAACTTTGTTACTATATAGAATGGTAATGGTTTTTCTAAAAATTCTTCTTCGAACAGCATTCGCCGTCTATCCATCCAAAAAGACATTTCTTCCCGGGTGGAAGAGATTGCCAAGACAATAAAAAATGGAGCTCAGATCCGATCCATCAATATCTTTGGCTCAAATTCAGTTCTGATTAATAAACATGCCACAAAGTTCTTAAACAGCCAAGTCTTGCGAATGCTGAATATTGAAGTTGAATATGGTGAATCCTCTCTTGGAAATTTCAAAAGTTTAGGTCAGTCTAAGTACTTGAGGATAAACAATTATCCTATGGTCGGCAAGCTTCCACGAGATATAGAAAAGCTGCAACATCTGGAGACACTAGATGTGAGATGGCAATATCTTAAAAAGCTACCAGCAAGTATTATCTAGTTGCAGAAGCTAGTGCGTCTTCATGTCTATCGGTCGGTGCGCCTACATGATGGAATCAGAAATCTGCAGGCGTTGGAAGAGCTATCAAGTATCGATTTGGGTATTCAATCTGTAAAGTTTATCCAAGGACTCGGTGGTCTAACCAATCTGAAATTACTTAAAATTATTTGGCCATGCTCTACTGAATTACGTGATGTGAAGGATCATGATTCACGAGGAAGAATCTATCTCAACGCTCTCCAAGCTGTTCACGTGCCTGCGAGAACTGCGTGTGTGGGGGAGTGATGCTGATGCCACACGTCCATTCATGTCTTCGTGTGTCCCTACTTCACCACCACTTGGAAAGCTTGTTCTTAATACACGTGACTTAAATTGCATGGGCCCTCAAATCAGCTCACTAGTCAACCTGACCCGCCTCGGCATTTTTGTCTGTGGTGAAACAGGCAAGGAAGGAATAAATATTCTAGCAAGTTTACCCATGCTGCTCTCTCTTACTGTTGGCTTATTCAATTACAGAGATGGAGATTCAGGCATCGTCTACCCAAGGAACGCAATCAACCCACAAGGATTTCAGCGTTTGCTCAAGTTTCATTTCCTCTGTAATTGGTGTGACGCGGCATTGGAGTTTGAGCCGGGAGCCATGCCAAAGCTCGAAAGGCTCAAACTGCACCTGATGGCACGGTGCCAGTTCAAGTGGGAAGGTGGCCTGGTCCTTGGTCTGTAGAATTTGGCAGGCCTCAAACATGTCGACGTCGATGTTAACTGCTCTGCTGCTGTTGCTCGCCAGTCTGTTTTCGAAGTTCTGGCCGGCGGACAGTCCGGCGTAGACCGTGGACAGTCCGGCCCCTCTTCCACGAATAGTCCGCGCTTGGACTGCAGACAGTCCGGTCCTTTGCAGACTTCTCGGCTTTGAGGTGTTTCGTCGAGGGCTTTGCTTGGTCGTTTCTCAAGGGTCCCGCTGTGTCTCTTGGTCATTACCATAGACATCCAGCCACCTAGTTGGCTCGTGGATCTTTCCTCTACCATGTGTTTGGGTTTGGGGTTTGATTTTGGAACAGCGGCCTAAGTTTTTGAAAGAAATTTGAGTCTCTCATTCACCCCCTCTGGTCGCCATTTCGGTCCTTCATTTTTACTTCCTGGTGTGACATCGCAAGTTGCGCGCCGGTCACCATCGGCCAGCACAGCAGCACTTATCATCACATGGCTTGTAGATTGAGATGGCCTGGCTAAAATAGAAAAACTGAGAGAGAGAGAGAGAGAGAGTAGGTGGAAGAAAGTGGTTACGGAGGAAAGTGGAAGGAAATTTCTCATGTGTAACAATCAATCTACATAGGGCGAATGCTTTCGAGTTGAGAAGATGACTGAAATGGTCGCTTATTACACACCATACCAAAATTATTTATGTGGCATATTTGATTACAAAAGTAGGTAGCTATTTATTATTGAGAGACTAGTTTATAAAGCTAGTGACATGAATCTATATATGCATTGAGGGTGGCTATTTTCTTCATCCACCAAAACTTATAAAGGGATGTAACATTTTTTGAAACAGTGTAACAAAACATATCACTGAGATCGGCCAAAAAACGGGCTCCCTTTCACAAATTCAAAAGCATTCTTTAAATTAATCTTTTCGAGAACTGAAGCCGTCGTGTGGACTGTCAGCGACAACGTGCCTTGGAGTGGTTCTCGCGAATCTAGAGGAGAATTATATATTTAACTAATGGGATGCGTTGTTGTTTGCCCCACTTTAAATTGAGAACTGAATCACCTATCCTCTCTCATACCACCGCACAAGCTAGCTAGCATTTCACTCAGCCAGTAGTCGCGAGTCAAGATGGCCGAAATGATCTCAAGCGCCGCCACGGGTGTGTTGGGCTCCGTCATCAACAAGCTGGCCGCCATGCTCACCGACAAGTACAACCTCGCCAGAGACGTCAAGCAAGGGATCCGGTCCCTGCAAGACGAGCTGCGCACCATGGAAGCCATGCTGCTGAGGCTCGAAGACAAGGACGACGACCAGATCGATCCACTCGCCAAAGACTGGAGGAGCAAGGTGCGTGAGCTGTCCTACGATATTGAGGATTGCATCGACCGTTTTGTGCTCAATCACAGCCATGGAGATGGAGGTTCCACGGCCAACTTCGTGCACAAGGCCATTCAAATGGTGAAAACGTTGTTCAAGGACAGAGGAATAGCAGAGGAGATCCGACGACTCAAGAGGCTCGTGAGCGAGCAGAGCGAGCGGGGGAAATGCTACTATGACAGCAATCAGTGTCTCCTCGCCTCCTCATCTCAGCCAGTGCTGTTCGATCCTCGAGCACCTTCACTCTTTCAGGAGGCCAGGGATCTTGTTGGAATCGATGCTCCTCGTGAGGAGATCATCAGCTTATTGAGATGTGAAGACAAGGAGCACAAGGTGGTGTCCATCTATGGGATAGGTGGACAGGGGAAGACCACTCTCGCCATGGAGGTGTACCACAAAATCACTGAAGCTGCTTTTGATAGCCGGGCTTTTGTGTCTGTATCACAAACTCCAGATATGAAGAAACTTCTTAGAGATATATTGTCTCAGATAAGTAAGAGCCATTTTGACCAGTCACAGATGTTAGAGACAGTTGAGCAGCTCATCCGCACAGTGAAAGAATGCTTAAAGGACAAGAGGTAATCAATATTATTTCTTTTTCTAATAGTTAACCAGTTCATCTAGCTAGAATAATGTCTTGCAATATTTGTTCATCACATGAGCTCACCTAATTATTAGGCCATTTATGAAATTTTCTGGGAATTTTAAAAAATGATTCATTTCTCCGTCATCTTTAACTTCACTGGAATAAGCTTCAATTCATGGTTTGCCGTACGTAATTAATAACGTGATTCCACAACCAATGTATGCAGGTACTTCATCTTGATTGATGATATCTGGAGTGTATCAGCATGGGAGCTTGTACGATCTGCCTTACCTGTCAATGACAATGGAAGCAGAATTATTACTACAACACGCATTGAAGCAGTAGCCAAATCTTGTTGTACTGGTATTGCAGCACAAATGTATCAAGCAAAGCCCCTTAGTCATGAGGACTCCCAAAGATTATTCTTTAAGAGGCTTTTTTTGTCCGGTGATGATTGCCACCCAGATTTGAGGAAAGTATCCGATGATATTTTAAAGAAATGTTGCGGCTTACCACTAGCCATAATCAGTATAGCTGGTTTATTAGCAAACAGAAGCAAAGCAGTGGAAATCTGGGTCAATGTATTGAGGTCTATTGCTGCTGCAGTTGACAAAAATTCTCCAATTGATAAGATGAAAAGAATTCTGCTGCTGAGTTACTTTGACCTTCCTCACCATCTAAAGAGTTGTTTGTTATATCTGAGTGTGTTTCTAGAGGATTCTTTGATTGATTGCAAACAGTTGATATTGCTATGGGTAGCCGAAGGGCTGATTCCTGGACAGGACAGGGAAAGTATGGAGCAGCTAGGGAGAAGTTACTTGAATGAGCTCATCAATAGAAGTTTGGTGCAGCCAACCAAGGTTGATGGAGACGGCACAACAGTGGAACAGTGCAGAGTTCATGATGTCATACTTGAGTTCATTGTATCAAAGGCCGTGGAGGACAACTTTGTTACTATATGGAATGGTAATGGTTTTTCTAAAAATTATTCTTCGAACAAGATTCGCCGTCTATCCATCCAAAAAGACATTTCTTCCCGGGCGGAAGAGATTGCCGAGACAATAAAAAATGGAGCTCAGATCCGATCCATCAATATCTTTGGCTCAAATTCAGTTCTGGTTACTAAGCATGCCACAGAGTTCTTAAACAGCCAAGTCTTGCGAGTGCTGAATATTGAGGTTGAATATGGTAAATGCTCTCTTGGACATGTCAAAAGTTTAGGTCAGTTGAAGTACTTAAGGATACACAATTATGCTTTGGTCGGCAAGCTTCCACAGGATATAGAAAAGCTGCAACATCTGGAGACACTAGATGTGAGAAGGCAATGTCTTCAAAAGCTACCAGCAAGTATTATCCAGTTGCAGAAGCTAGTGCGTCTTCATGTCTATCCGTCGGTGCGCCTACCCGATGGAATTGGAAGTCTGCAGGCGTTGGAAGCGCTATCAACGATCAATTTGGGTATTCAATCTGTAAAGTTTATCCAAGGACTCGGTGATCTGACCAATCTGAAATTACTTAAAATTGATTGGCCATGCTCTACTGAATTACGTGATATGGAGGATCACAAGGAAGCATGTATCTCAACGCTCTCCAGGCTGTTCAGTCACCTGC